TATTTATTTATTTATTTATTTATTTATTTATTTATATTTTTGTCATGTTTATGTAGTGTACATTGAAGGTAGTGACTCTTTGAGAGGTGTAGTTAATAAAATTTCATTTTAATGTGTCCCAAGCTATTAAGTAACAATGTTAGTTATAAAAAATTATATCTTAAAGTTTATTTAAATGTTTAGTAATACATGTTTATTTTATTCACTTAGATTCAAGACCCCTAACCCAATTTGCTGATATTCTCAACAAATCTAATAACTTAGACTTTGTGAAAGAAAATAGCCCTGAAACTCCAAAGTTTAGAAGTTACAGTACAATGCAATATTGCTATGCCAAAGTTGAGAAATAACAAAACACAAGAACTCCTAACTTAATTAACAAACTATGTACAAATAAAGTTCCTTTCTAGCCACTCTTCTGTGTGCAACAGATCATGTTGCACAGAAGCATATACTAGATTTCAGGACACAAAATAATCGCAAGAAAATTAGAATAGCAATAGCAATAGCAGTTAGACTTATATACCGCTTCATAGGGCTTTCAACCCTCTAAGCGGTTTACAGAGTCAGCATATCGCCCCCACAGTCTGGGTCCTCATTTCACCCACCTCGGAAAGATGGAAGGCTGAGTCAACCTTGAACCGGTGAGATTAGAACCGCTGAACTGCAAATAACAGTCAGCTGAAGTGGCCTGCTGTACTGCACTCTAACCACTGCGCCACCTCAGAATAACATAAGAGGACCGTAAAGGCTGAATAACTGTGGAAGAAACCTGCTGGTGATCTCCTATTAATTAAAGTTTCATTTCTGAAAGGATTTTCTCATCTGTATTTTAAATCTGAATAAAGGAGCACACACGGCACACAGAGAGGAAACAGAAGCACAAACATCCATTTTAAAGTGTCCTAACAAGTCTAAGAGACATAAATCTTACCTTATGCACGCTATTTGGTTCTTCAAGCCATGCATAATACATTTCTTCAACATAGGTTGAATTGCTCCCACTCAAAAATGGTTCTTTGACTCCAGGGGTAACATAAGGCCGACTTGGCCAAAATACTGTCTTGTTTACATTCTTCTTCACAAAGGAAGAAATGCCACAACATTTCAGAGTATCAGCAAGCAACCGCAAGTGACTCATATTTCATTGATGGGGAACTATGTAAAAGGAAAAACAGACAACACATGATGGTTATCTTACAATAAAACACACACTGCGTTACCAAGGTAATATTTATAGCTCAGGGTTGAACTGTAGGGTCTTTGATGCTCTCTGAGGTTGGTGGTTTTCATTACTCAACTAGGTAACTTCATTGGTGCTAGCAAAGAGCAGGGTTTGCAGAAAGGAGGCTGAGGCAGAGAAGAAGAACTGTGAGGTTCCTGGTGTTCTCTGAATCTGAGCATGGTTGTTGTCTAGCAGACGTTTCATTACCCAACTAGATAACATGATCAGTGCTAGAAGGAAGTGGGGTGAGCAAATACATGGAGTTTCTTTTTAAAAAAAATTTTTTATTTTATTTTCAAACATAAACATACAAAATATATAACATAAAAACCTCTTCAACTACATACAGTGTGTTGATAGGTTATAAAATCTTTCTCCATCCTTTCTATAGTCTTCACTTGAGCTTTATCAAAAAATCACTTATTGTCAATCAAATATCTTTGTATACATTATTATTGTACTTCATTTGTTTAATTATCACTACCGTGTTTCCCCGAAAATAAGACAGGGTCTTATTTTCTTTTTACACACAAAATATGGCTTGGGGCATATTATGATGGGAGGGTTTATTGTTTTGGGGTTGCTGGGCACAGCCTCATGAGTGAATGGCTGTGTTGCACTGTCGCAGCAGCGCAACACAGCAGCCATGAAGCGACCACACTCATGAACAGCCACCCGGCAAACCCCCTTTCCAGCCGGACACAGCACCATTCACTGACCTAAGGGTATCGTCAAGCCAAGTGAGAGCCTGTTCGCTGCCACCCGTGGCTTGGCGCCTTCGAAATGGCAGTGAATGGTGCTCTGCACGTCTGGAGGGGGGGGTTGCACGAGTGGCTGTTCTGCCCTCGCTCACGCACCTGCCAGCCTCAGGATTCATGGCCCAGCTCTCTCTGCAGAGCTAGACCACCTCTGCCACCACCGCATGGCTTTTTCTGCGGCTTCCAAACCAACTCTTCCGGCAGTGGCTGCTCTGGGCGTACGCTCTATGGTTGTATGCTCTGCCAGCAGCTGGCCCACAACCATAGAGCGTACACCCAAAGTGGCCACTGCCAGAAGAGTCGGTTTGGAAGCCACAGAAAAAGAATGTTGGTCTTACCTGAACGTGTCTTTTCAGGGGAAGAGAGAGAGGGGTCACATGTGGGTATTCTCAAAGCCTGATTGGTTCAAAGACTGAGAGAAAACTTCTTAAATACTCCTTCCTTCCATTCCTGCCCAGTTTCCTCAATGGCAAACAATGGTTCTGAAACAAATGCAACAACAAACCCCCGGAAAATCTCCCGGGCCCACCCTTGGCCCCAACAACCTAACTAGGGTGGGTTGTAACCCCTCCCTCTCTTCCCCTGAAAAGACACGTTCAGGTAAGACCAACGTTCTTTTTCCAGTGGAAGAGAGGGAGGGGTCACGTGTGGGACATACCCAAGCTTAGTCCCAGGGAGGGAAACAAACAACTATGGCCCAAGGAGAGTATCAGCTGCCACCCTCTGTAGGACCCTCTGACCAAAGGAAGCATCCGCCGAGGCGAACGCATCCAGACAATAGTGCCAGATGAAAGGGGTAGGGGATGCCCAAGTAGCGGCCTGAAAAATGTCCTCAAATGGATCCCTAGTGGCCCATGCCGCCATGGTCATGGCACTACTAGTGGAATGGGCTGTTATTCCCAATGGACCAGGACAACCCATCGCCTCATAGGCCCCCACGATGGCCTGTCGCAGCCAACTGCCAATAGTAGCCAATGGTTCCCAGTGTCCCAGGCTGGAAGGAGACAAATAAAACCTCCGACCTGCGCACCCCTGCAGTCCATCTGAGATAAATGAGCAAGGTGCGACGAACGTCCAAATGGTGCCAGAGTCTCTCCCAATCACTAGAAGGGCCTGGACAAAAATCGGGCAGGATGATTTCCTGTGCCCTATGAAAGGGGGTGTTCACCTTTGGGAGAAAGGTGGGGTCAAGGCGAAGAACCACCCTATCCTGGTGAAAATGGCAAAGGTCATCCTTGGATGACAGGACGCCCAGCTCCGATATACACCAGGCGGAGTAATTGCCACCAGAAAGGCTACCTTAAGGGATAGGAATCTCAGATGAACACACCGAAGTGGCTCGAACGGGGGTCCCATCAAGGCCCTGGGAACTAGGGGCAGATCCCATGTAGAGAACCTGCGTATGGGGGGTGGCCTGAGATTGGCCGCCCCTTTAAGAAAGTGCTTGATCAGGAGAACGTGAGAGAGGGAGGAAGATACCACACACCCCAAGACCAAAGACAGAGCCGCCACCTGTCGACGCAGGGTGTTGTGTGACAGCCCATCATCCAGACCTTTCTGCAGAAAGTCCAGGACGTTAGGAATTGTGGCCCTGGCCGGATCAATGTCAAGAGGGGAACACCACCTGACAAAGGCAGCCCAGGTGGAATTATAATTTTGGGTTGTCGATGGGCCCCTAGAGGCCTCGATGGTGCGTATAACCCCAGAGTACAGGTTAGCTTCCTTAGGAGTTGCTGTTCAAGAGCCAGGTAGTCAGATGGAGCCACTGGGGCTCCGGGTGGATCAAGACCCCCTGGTGTAAGATGATCTCCTCCCATGAAATCCTCCATAGAGGGGCCACTGACAGCTGGACTAGATCCGCAAACCAGGGCCTCCTGGGCTAATAAGGTGCCACGATAATGACTAGCGCCCTCTCCGCTACCACCTTCCTGAGGGTCCCAAGGATGAGGGAAATGGGATGGAAGACATAGAGAAGGCCCAGAGGCCACCTGCTCCGGAGAGCATCTGTGCCCTCCGCAGACTGGGCCTGGAACCGGGTGAAGAATCTTGGCAGGTGCAAATTCGCCGGCGTGGCGAAGAGGTCCACCAGCGGGGTGCCAAACCTCTGACAGACCTCCCAAAACAAGGATGGGTGGAGCTGCCACTTGCCGTTGTCCAGGGTCGCCCGACTCAGCCAGTCCGCCTGGTGGTTAGACAGACCGGAGATGTGTTCCGACACCAAGGACGACAGGTGTCGTTCCGCCCAGGCGCCGATCCTCAGGGCCTCTAGCCAGAGACCCTGAGACTGAGTCCCCCCCTGACAATTTATGTGGGCCTTGCTGGCCATATTGTCCGTCAGGAGAAGCATGTGATGGCCCTCTACAGATGGCCGGAAATGTCTCAGGGCCAGGCATGCTGCTTTCAGTTCCAACCATTTTATATTGTGTAGGAGATCTGAAGCAGTCCACCTGCCCTGGGCCAACTGAGAGCCCACCAGGGCCCCCCAACCGAACAGACTTGCGTCCGTGGTCACAGTCACCCTGTCCAGCTCCCAGAAAGAACAGCCCCATTGAAGGACCGGAGAGGCCACCACGGGAGGGGAAGGGTCCGAAGAGAGTTGCTCATCCTCTTCTTTTGAAAAGGGATGAGCTCCCATTGGAGGGGACGGAGATGGAGTCTGGCCCATGGGACTATCCCAATGCAAGACACCATCTTGCCCAGCAACTGTGACAATGTTAAGACTGAAACTAACTGACTTCTGTGAACTTTGCCTGTGACCTGGTGTAGGCTTGCCTGGCGATCCAGGGACAGATGGACCACTCCTGACACAGAGTCTATGACCGTCCCTAAGTGAAGAAGGCATGTGGAAGGGGTCAGATGACTCTTGGGAAAGTTTATCGAAAACCCCAGGGACTGTAGACTCTGAATGGTGAGCCGAAGGTCTGAGACTACCTGAGGGAGGGACCCCGCCTGGACTAAGACATCATTCAGGTAGCATTGGAGTCTCACTGGGATGGAGTGGAGATGAGCCGCCAATGCCGCCAACACCTTCGTGAATGTGCGAGGGGCCAAAGCCAACCTGAAGGGAAGAGCCCTGTATTGGTAATGACGGTCCCTGTGAGAGAACCTCAGAAACCTGCGATGAGCCAGGAGAATTGGAATATGAAGGTAAGCCTCAGTCAGGTCTACCGATGTCAAGAAGTCCCCCCTCCGGATGCCCTGAAGAATGGACTTGAGGGAGGACATCTTGAAGCACCTGTAAACCAAGAAGCAGTTCAGGCGCTTGAGGTCCAGAATTGCCCTCCAGCCCCCCCGAACTCTTCGGGACCACAAACAGGTTGGAGTAGTGGCCCAGTCCGCGTTGCAAATGGGGAACTGCCTCTACCGCCTGAATGTCGAGATGGTGTTTTATAGCTTGATCCATCAGATGGCGGTGCTCCAGGCTCCGAGACGGAGGGAACGACCTGAAGAGATTGGGCGGGGTGGAGAGAAACTCTAACCTGAGACCTTGACGAACTGTGGATTTGACCCAGGCGTCTGATGTGATCTCGTCCCACTGATCCGCATAGAGGGACAGGCGGCCACCTATGGGACAACTCAGGTTCAAGTCACTTCCCCCTGTGGTAGGGGCGACTGCTGTCACCTAGAAAGGGCCGCCAGGACTGATGTTGGAATCTGTTCCAGTCCTAATAGGACAGCCAAGGAAATTGCCTGTCGGACCTGAAAGAAGAGACCTGATGATGGTCAATGTCGGGAGCCCTATATGACGACCTACGATAAGGGTGAGCCCGAGACTCGGTCTTTTTAGTGTTGGATGGGAGGACCTTTTTCTTATCTTTGTTCTCGACTAAAATGGGGTCGAGAGCCTCCCCAAAAAGATTGGGACCCTTGAAAGGGGCAGCCGACAGATTCCACTTGGCCTTGTTATCCATCTGCCAATTACGCAGCCATAAAAGGCAGCGGGAAATAACTGAAGTGGCCAAGACACTGGATGCAAATTGACCGTGTCTAGGGTCGGAGAATTGCAAGGCAGCTAAAAACTTTGTTAGGTGGAGGCGCTCGTCCTGGATCGGGATGCGATCCTGGAGCTGGCAGAGCCACATGACCATAGTGCGATTAAAGTACGAGGCCACCGCTGCAGACTTTATGGCCCAGGCAGTGGCGTTAAAATTCTTCTGTAAGGTAAGCTCCG